CAAAATGAAAAAAGAAAAAGAAGGGCCGGGGATTTTTCTCCGTGGTGCCCATGCCTGCCTCGAAAGCCCAAAGTCCTGAGTTTGATCCTTGATACAAAAAAAAAAAAAAAAAAAAAGAAAAAAGAAAGAAAATCTTAATCTCCTCACTTGAACACAATGGATGCCAACATTGTTTTTTGTTTGGTTTTTTTTTGTGCCAGGGATCTAACTTGGGACCTTGCGCTTGCCAGGCAGGCACGGGAACCACTGAGCTAAATCCCAGGGCCAACAACATTTTTTAAATTTACAGATTCATGTATTAAATAAATTCAATACACAGATAATGATATAACAAGTAACAGGCAAATACAAACATTATGAGGATTTCAGGGTATTTTTAAAAAAATAAATTCTTGTTCATTAAGAAAAACTGTTACTTTTCCAAAATATACAACTGGATTCCAACAAAACAATTTAATAAAATAAGGCACAATGTGTCATGGGGTACAATTCACACAGGTTACTTAATACAGTATAAGATGACATTATTCTGTACATCCTGGAGGGTGAAGGGGAAGTACTAGAATTGAAGTAGCTTAAATATTCTTTTTTAGACCATTTACCATTATAAGGTAATATATAAATTTGATACAATAAACTACATAGAAAGTAAAACTTAACTGTTGAATCATATCACTGAATTATATTCACTTTTACCATTAATTTTTTTTTTTTTTTGAGACAGGGTCTGTAGTCCAGGCTGGCCTTGAACTCACTATGGAGTCCAGGCTTGGGCCGGGGATTTAGCTCAGTGGTTTCGTCGCCTGCTGAGCAAGCTCAAGGACCTGAGTTCGATCCCCAGTACCAAAAAAAATAAATAAATAAATCGCTTCTCGGCCTTTTGGCTAAGATCAAGTGGAGTCCAGGATGGCCTCAAACCCAATGCTTCTACTTCAGCCTCCTGATTACAGGCGTGTGTCACCACGCCTGGCTTTCTCTGTGTATTTCTTATGTGGGTGTAATCATAACAGATGCATTCATTTGTCTCCCTCTATTTCACTTAGCCTAGTTTTTGGAATTTGACATCTGTACTTAATATCATGTCATTAATAAGGACATATTATTCCATTATATTGACAGGCCGTAATTAACTTCTCCCCTTGTTAGACTTTTAGGTTGTTTCTCATTCTGTAATATTATAATATGGGGGAAATGTCCTTGTGGGTGGAACTTTTCTTTACATGGTTATTTTCTCAGGACCGTTTTCCACATGAGTGGGATGCTGGTCAGAGGCCATGAGGTTTTGATACACACTGCCAATGAGCCTTCCCAAGAACCATTTGAATTTTAACTGTGGGCATACCACTTCTCTCTCTCCAGACTAATTAAAAGCAAAATTATACAAACAAAAGAAGCTTTGCCAGTGTGGGAGATGGAACGTGGAGTTCTAGCCTTAATGTATAATTCTTTTTGTTTTTTCCTTCACAGAATTAGAGATTAAAGCCTGGCTCAAAAGCATGCTCACAAGTGCTGTACCACTGAGCTACACCCAGCCCTTAAATTAGAATTCTTTTGTTAGTAATAAGAGTATGTGTAGTTCCATGTGAGTCATAATAACTTATCTCTTTATTGCTGGGGTTTGGTATTTTTCTTGATAATTTTTATAAGCTTTTTACATCAAAAAGCACGGCTCATAAAAAATGTTGGCCCTTGGGCTGGGGATTTAGCTCAGTGGTTCCAGCGCCTGCCTCGAAAGTGCAAGGACCCAAATTCAATCCCCAGTACCCCCCCCCAAAAATGTTGGCCCTTGCTGGGCATGGTAGCTCATGCTTGTAAACCCAGCACTCAGGGAGGCTGAGGCAGGAGGATTGCAAGTTCAAGCCTAGCATGGGCAACATAGTGACTTAGTAAGACCCTGTCTCAAAATTTAAAAAATAAAAGAAAGTGGGGCCGGGGATTTAGCTCAGTGGTACCGTGCCTGCCTCCCAAACGCAAGGTCCTCAGTTTGATCCCCGGTACCGAAAAAAAAAAAAAAAGAAAAAGAAAAAGTGGCTGGGGTTGTAGTTCACTGTGAAGGGCCTGGGTTCAAGACCCAGTCCCCTCCCCAAAAAATTAGCCCTGTTTCTTTCTACTGATTTTTTGCTTTTTTTTTTTGGTACCGGAGCTTGAACTCAGGACCTTGAGCTTGCAAGGCAGGCATGGTACCACTGAGCTAAATCCCCAGCCCTCTTTCTATGGATTTATTGTAGTTCTTTACAGTTTAGCTACAGTAGCTTTTTTTTCCCCAGTGCTGAGGATCGAACTCAGGGCCTGGCACACACTGTACTTGCATTCTACTTCCCATCCCCACTAATGTGGTTGTTAACTTTTTGGACATTTTTTTTAAAGTTAGGGGTCTTGGGTGTAGCCCAGTGGTACAGGGCTTGCCTAATATATGCTAGGCCCTGTGTTTGATCCCTAGACCCAATAAAAAAGGGGGGCATCCAGCTGCCCACCTTCCGCTTTGTGATTTCCTCTGAGGCCAGAAATCTCTCTGCAGAGCTTTGATGAATCACCCACCCACTCTTGAGGATATTCAGAAGGACACTGAATTCTGCGGTTAAGGCCACACGGAAGCTTTTGGCTTTGGGGTTCCAGCCCAAATGAAGCCTGTTGGCGGCCCTTCTCCTCCTCCTCTCTGGCATCTATCTGGCTCAGCGGGCATCTGAGAGGAGATGGCTGGTGACCAGTGATGGCCGCTGTGCTGCCACCCAGTCCACCAGGAGTGGCGCCCCCGTCCGTGCCTCTTGTGGACACTTTCCAGAGCTCCCAGCTTTCTGCCCCAGTGCTTAAAAACTTCCTTACTCAGTGCGCCAAAACTTGGCGGTGCACACCTGTAATGCCAGCACTCAGGAGGCTGGGGCCGGAGGATCACCAAGCATTGGAGGCCAGCCTGGGCTTCATAGCGAGGCCCTGTCTCAGAACAAAACAGAGATACAAATCTGCACACTTGCTCTAAGCATATATATCGATATGGAAGAAAACACCAAGAAAATGGTCCTTACAGGTTCACCCTAGCCTAGAGCCTACCCACCCTCTCACTGACTCGAAAAATGTGATCAGTGTGCGGAGTCCGTGCAGAGGCCAACACGCCACCGCAGTTTCTCCCAGAGCCATTTTTATTCGGAGGGGGGATGTTGGCTAAGGAGGCCCCCGGCAGCATGGGCTTCAGGGATGGGTTAGGGATATGGGACCGCAGAAGCAGTCAGGGCACACCCTAAATACAGGGTGTGAGTTAAGGGGACTTGGGAGGGACCTCCAGTCTCCCACTTAACTCTGAGATTCTCTGCTCCTGAGAAGGTGACTGAGAAATTCTAGGATTCGATTCTTCCAGGATGGGTTGGCAAACTCTGGCCTGGTGCTGGCTTTTGTGAATGAAGTTTTATTGGGACACAGCCACAATCACTCATTTACATATTATCCATGGCTACTTTCAGGCTGTGACCACAAAGTTAAGTAATTGCAACAGAGACCGTATGGCCCTTAAGGCCTAAAATAGTGACTGTCTAGCTCTTGATAGGATAAGTTTGCCCTCTTCTAGATCTGGGATTGGATTATGCTGGTGGGGTGGGCCTGGGCTGTGAGTGATGATTGATTCTAGGTGGAACTTGAATGATTGTTCTCGGTTTTATTCTAGATTTCTTTTAATCCATATATTAGAAGACAAGCACTAAGAAGCAAGTCAAACTCATGATGTCACAGATATGATTGCTTAGGACAAGCACAGAACAAAAGTATTCACAAAAAGTGTTAAGTTTTCAGTGGTGTGGGTGCTGCAGTAGAGGACAGAGAATGACAGGCTGAGAGCCCCTGTGCTGGGGGTGACGGCCAGGCCCCAGGGAGCCTTCTGCCTCCTGACGGTGCCCTCCCTGACCCAGGCTCTGCAGTGCGACATCACCAGCCTGACTTTCTGGGACCCCACGTGCCAGGCTAAGGACAGCAGTGAGCAGCTTGTCTTGAGCAGCAACTACTCGAGCTGTGGCATGGAAACGACGGCACATGTGATCAGCAATGAGGTAAGGGTCAGGCCCGCAAGGTATCAGGACCAGCTCAGTTGGTGTCCCTGTCAATGCCTCCCTGGTCCTGTGGGCTGAGGGATATTTGGGGAGCGAGGCTGGCTGGCTCAGTCTTCCCATCCATCAGATGGGTGTATTGGGCGGGACCCCATCCACGGTCCTTTCCACCTCTGACCAGCTCCTTGACTCTGTCCCTGCAGGTGGTCATCAGTATCCTGTCGGACTCGTCACCACTGAGGGTGAGAGGGCTGGTCACTGTGCTACCCACCTGCTCCAGGCTCTGGGGTGGGGGTGGCTCCTTGGCGTGAGGGGAGGGAGCAGGCTTCAGAAAACTCAGGCCCTGGCCAAGCATGCTGGTGGTCCATTCCTATAATCCCAGTACTCAGGAGGCTGAGGCAGGAAGATTGCTGTGAGTTTAAGGCCAGCCTGGGCTACATAACGGGTTCAAGGCCAGTCTAGAATATATATCGAGACCTGGAAAGAAAGAAAAAAAAAGGAAGAAAGAAAGAAAGAAAGAAAGAAAGAAAGAAAGAAAGAAAGAAAGAAAGAAAGAAAGAAAGAAAGAAAGAAAGAAAGAAAGAAAGAGAGAAAGAAAGAGAGAAAGAAAGAGGGAGGGAGGGAGGGAAGGAAGGAAAGAAGGAAGGAAGGAAGGAAAAAGGAAAAAGGAAAAAGGAAACTCAGACCTTGGTCCTGGGAATCCATTGTCTCCAGTGTGCCTCACTCTCCACTCTCTAGGGCTATCAAGGGCCGTGGAGTCACACTGGCTGTGTAGCTGTGGCCAAATCACCTCACCCTCCTGCGCCCTTGTCACTAAGATGTCACATGGAAAGTGTGTCCCACAAGCCAGGCGCCAGGATGAGCACAAGGCCACTCTGGCCCACGACTCCTGCTGCCACCTGCCCTTCACCTCCTGGCTGCTGTGGCCCACACTGACAGTGCCCCTCCCGCCCTCCTGCAGAAAAAGGTCCACTGCTTCAGCACGGACAGCCTCTCCTTCCAGCTGGGCCTCTACCTCAGCCCGTACTTCCTCCAGGCCTCCAGCACCATGGAGCTGGGCCAGCAGGGCTTCGTGCAGGTAAGGGCGCCCTGCCCCAGCCCCCAGCCCCAGCTGTCCTCCTGCAGCCCCTTTGCACCTGACCTTCCGCCAGTGCTACAATAAAGATGAGGACACAGCTTCCAGAGGAAGGAGGGAGCCAGCCTGGATGCGTGGGGGAGGGATGACAGGGATGGCATTGCTCAGGGACACTGAAAAGAATGTCACCCTCCCCCCTTCCTGTGTGTTCCAGGCAGGCCCCTCCTGTTCTCCACCATGAGGGCACAGGGGTGGGAGCTCTCCTGTAGCTCACGACAGCAGAGGCCAAGGCTCGAGAGTAGCTGCCAACACCTGGTCCCCTTGCCTCCCCATATAGGTGACCATGTCCCCATCCACTCCTGACATCACGTTCCTGCTAGAAAGCTGTCACCTGGACTTGGGGCCTGAGGTGGACACTGTGGAACTCATCCAGGGCCAGGCAGCCAAGAGCAGCTGTGTGAGCCTGCTGCCCCCCAGCCCTGACGGTGCCCCACGCTTCAGCTTCCTCCTCCGTGTCTACAGGGTGCCTATCCCCACTGCCGGCACCCTCAGCTGCACTGTGGCCCTGAAACCCAGGAACTTGCCCCAGGTGAGGGGGGCGTGGGCCGGCTCTGGCTTCAAGGGTCTCAGGTTTGCAGGCAGGGAAGTGGCAGCCCAGGAGCCCGTGGGACCAGCTGGCAAGGGGCACCCCTGCTGCCACCTATAGGCTTCTGGTGGGATTGCTGTATATATCCGTGCATTCATCCATATATCATCCATCATCCATCCATCTGTATTTCCACCATGCACCCTGTCATTCATCCATCCACCCAGGCATCCATCCACCTACCCATGTGGTTTGGTCTCCAATGTCATCTCAATGAACAGGGGACTTTAGGGAAGAGGAACACAAAATCCTGATTTTCTGCATTTGCTGGTGTCAAAGCCTCGCTGTCCGGTGTATCACCATTGTCAGGCCCTCAGTGCTGGACACACTGACAGAGACACCCCTGATCTTTGCACACAGAAAGCTCCTCAGGATCCACAACCTCTCTCTGGGTGTATGAAACTAGGGAAACCTTTGGGCCCCTCTAAGTGGCCTCTGCCTCCAGGCCGTGAGGCTGGGCATTCAGGCTGACCTGGCTCCTGGGTCTCTTTGCACAAGGGTAACAGTGCTCACGGGCACCAGGGCCTCCTGGAACTCACAGGAAACCCCGCAGCAGCCAAGGACTGTCCACTGATGCCGCCCTCCAATAAGGTCCCCGGGATGTGCCCCCCACATGCTCCCAGCTAGAAAGTGGTGGGTTGGGGCCCACAGCCAAAGCTCCAGGCCAGGGCCAGAGCCAGGGAGACCTAGATGCTGCCTCTGGGCTGTGCCACAGCCCACTCGCTCTCTCCCTCTCCAGGAAGTGCACAGGACCATCTCCATGCGTGTGAACATCGTCAGCCCTGACCTGTCTGGTGAGTTCCCCCAGTTCCCTCTGGGAGGAAAGGAAAGGAAGGACAGCCCTGAATGTCGGGGCAGAAGGGCTTTCCAGGGTCCCAGCAGCAGGCAGCATCTTAAGGATGGAGACTCCGCCCCAACAAGGAGGGGCATCCCAGGCTTGGCTCCCTGTCCAGTGCTATTCTCCACCCACTGGTGGCTGTGTGACCTTGCTGGGGGCAGGGCCTCCTGGGTGGAACGTAACGCATGATGGTGGCCTTGCATTCTTTGAGCATCCCACATGGAGGATCCCCCCTGGCCCAGCACCCCTGGCCTCTTCATTAGCTCCCCTGGGCCCAGGCCCCCCAGGCAGAAGGGTCTCTGAGGTTGGAGGCAGCAGCAAGAGGTCTCTGCCATGCAGGCAAGGGTGGTGTCCCCACCCCCAGCCAGGATCTGAAAGCAGATGGGACATCAGAGACCACAGGAGAGGCCCCCCAGCCCAGGGGCACCAGGAGGCAGGACTATGAAAGGAAGGAGTCTAGGGAGCATCCTATCCCTGCTCCCTAAAAAGGCTTCTTAGTGCTGGTCTTGGGGGGATGTGACAGCCCATTTTCAAGGGGAAGAGACTGAGGTTCAGAAAAGTGAGAAGTGACAAGCTGGAATGAGCACAGAAACCTCGCTCCTGGGCAGATGTGGTGGTGCACACCTATAATCCCAGCACTTGAGAAGCTGAGGCAGGAGGATCTCAGGGAGTTGGAGGCCAGCATGGGCTACATAGGGAGTTGGAGCCAGCCTGAACTATAGAGTGAGACTTTGTCTCAAAAACCAAAAAAATTTAAAATAAGGGAGTAAATAAATACAAACCTTGCTCCTGGCCACCCCGATGACAGGGGCAGGGCAGAACAGCAGCACTGACACTCTGCCCTTCCCCGGGTGGCACAGGTAAAGGCCTCGTCCTGCCCGCCGTGCTGGGCATCACCTTTGGCGCCTTCCTTATTGGGGCCCTGCTCACCGCTGCGCTCTGGTTCATCTACTCGCACACGCGTGAGTATCCAGGCCCCCGCAGTGAGTGCTCAAGGCCCCCTGCTGCCACCAGGGGAGCCTGGTGAAGCCCGAGGGGATGGGGAACCCGTGCCCCAGCTGGGGCCCTGACCTCCCCCTGACCCCACCTCCAGATCCCCCTGGCAAGCGGGAGCCCGTGGTGTCGGTGGCTGCCCCAGCCTCTTCCGAGAGCAGCAGCACCAACCACAGCATCGGGAGCACCCAGAGCACCCCCTGCTCCACCAGCAGCATGGCGTAGTGCCTGGCCCGGAGCTCTAGGGCCCCCCAGCCAGCCCTCACCCATCAGGAGATGCTGTGCAGCCCCTGGCTGGGACCCACTATTCAGGAGCTCATCCCAGGACCCTAGCACCTCGCCGCAACCATGGACTGAGCATGCCCTCTGCTCCCCCACCTCCCACCTGGCTCCCAGAGGCCAGCTGCCAGCAGGGGCACCAGCCTGGATCAACTCGGGGTCCCCCCCACCCCACTGCACAGAACCTTCAAACCCAGGGCCTCTAGGACACAGCTGCCCAGGACCACAGAGAGAGACCACTGTCCTCTGTGTTCACATCGCTGTACACACTTGGGGCCTTGCCCTTTGAACCCAGACGGAGCACTGGGGATCTGCACTGGGTGGGAGGTTCGAAGTCCAGCCGGTTTCCACACCTGCACTGGCACGACTGTGATGGGGAAACGGAAGCTGATTGGTACCCGGCCTGGGAGCCCCGAGGGGCACATGGAGACCGCTTCCCGGCCCATCAGGCAGAGAGTGACCAGGCCCCTCGTCCTGGGCCCACCCCTTTATACCCATCATCAATAAATCAGACATGAATCCCATGCCAACCTGGGCTGGGTGAAGGGGGGCTCTCAGGAGGGGTGCACAGAAGAGTGCTGCTCTGGCCTCGTGACAGGTGTGGCATCCTGAACATACCAAGTGGCCAGGGCACAGCATGTGCGGATTAAATTACTCCTACTGCTTGCTCACTCGGTGGTATGCCCGTGGGACCAAGGGTGTGATGAAACAAACACAGGAGGCCCTGTCCACACTCCCACTACGGTTCAAAATAGGCCCCCAACTGCTCTGGTTCCAATTCAGGACCTGCCACTTACTGGCTGTGTGACTAGCAGCTCCTGCGGCTTTCTCAAAGCCAGCTACTGGTCCCCCGTAGTCCAATTCTTGGTCTCAGCGAGGTCTGCAAAGCAGTGCGAGGTGTATGGCCAACAGCCCTGGGCCCAGTTTTCTGGCGCCACAGCCAGGCCACCTGAGGCTCTGCAGGAGGGAAGGGGTTGTCCAAGGCCACATGGCCAGGGCTCTCTCCGCCCATTCCAGTTCCTATACTTGCTGTGCCCCCAAACCCTAATTGTCTGATGAGGGGACCAGAAATGAAGATCAATCAGATGTTGCAATTTCTTTAAAAATAAAATTAAAAGCCTTTAATTTACTCCAGCTTTGCTGTCCCCAGGGTGTCCCAGGCAGGGGCCCTCTCCTTTCCCAGAAGGCGCTGGGAGGAGGAAATCCATCACTCAACACACAGCAGGACCCAGAGCCTGGCCAGGCCGCTCACACGACAAGCTGGGCCCAAGCCAGGTGGTGATGAGGTGGCAGGGGTGAAGCGGGCTGGGCTGGGAGGAAGAGAGGCCAAGGCACAGAGCTCAGACAATGGTGTCCTCTCCCAGCCCCAGTCCATGCCCAAGCCTGGCAGATGTGGGAAAGCAGAACCTGAAAGGCACCTGGCACAAGTCCGTGGCAAGAAGGGAGGGTGGGTGCGGGAGGCTCCCACCTCCCACCCCGCCTGTGGCCATGGCTACTGGGACAGGGAGGGCTCTAGTAGCTTGAGGACACTGCCCACCAGGTGCAGGCTGCCGGTGACCAGCACGTGGATGGCAGCAGCCTCCTGGAGGACGCTGGCCCCGCTGGTTGCTGTGGGGTGGGAGAGGAGGCTCTTTGGGGGATGGGGTGGCTGGAAGACAGGGTCTCGGCCTTGGCTGATCCACTGCAAGGCATGGGAGACGCAGCTGAAGACCAGGGAGCTGGCAATGCAGGGGTGGGGTGGGTGAGGTGCCAGCAACAAGGGCGCAGGCCTGCTGGGCTGTGGGGGGCCCCAGAGGTCGGGGCCGTCCTGCTCCTTGTCCAGGTGGCTCCAGTGCCGCTGGTGGTCCAGGCAGCGGATCAGCATCTGGTCCAGCGTCACTGTGAAGTTCTGCTGGTCTGCAGGGCACGGGGACAGGCGGGTCAGCCACGGGGGCAGGGGACGAGCGAGGAGAAAGGCTGGTGCACCAGGCTTTTCCACACATTGCATCGTTAGGCTCTGCTACAGCTCCCCACAGTGGACACAATGAGGAAACTGAAGCTACTTGCCCAAGGTCTGGGAGGTAGAGCCAGACCCTACTGTCATCAGCTGTGAGCTGAGTGTCCAGTCCAGTTGGGCTTATGTATTTCTGGGAGGCTGTTTAAAAATATAGATTCTAGGGCCAGGGATTTAGCTTAGTGGTTCCAGTGGCTGCTGCACAAGCGCAAGATCCCAAGTTCGATCTCCAGTACCAAAACAAACAAACAAACAAAAAATATACAGAGAGAGATTCCAGGGCTGGGGATTTAGCTCAGTGGCACCGCACCTGCCTCATAAGCACAAAGTCCTCAGTTCGATCCCTGGTACCCCCCCAAAAAATACACACACACACACACACACACACACACACACACACATATCTAGTTTCCAGCTGGGCATGATGGCATACACCTGTAACCTCAGCACTCAGGAGGCTGAGGCAGGAGGACCACTGCAAGTTCAAGGCCAGCCTGAACTACACAGCAAGATCCTGTCTCAAAAAAACAAACCATTTTATATATATTCATTCCAGAACTCTCCCCAGATAGTTGATGTGGGGCCTGTGGATCTATTATTTTGTATGTAGATTTTTTTTCTGGTACTGGGGATAGAACTCAGGACCTTGCACCTGTTAGGTAGGTGTGGCACCACTGAGCTACGTCCCTGGCCCCTGTAATTTTGACATTATCTCAAACTTGTTTTTTTTTTTCAACATGATGCACAGTATAAAATAAATTTTATATTACAACCCATGACATATATTCTGGAACAGAATCATCAGCAAACACTATCTACCCTTCCTTTGTGTAATGCACACTGGTATTTCCTATTCTACTCTATTTCTTGGTTTTCCGTTTGTTTGTTTTTGCAGTAGTAAGAATTTACCAGGGTCTTTGCACTAACTGAGCTACATCCTCAGCTCTTTCTTATTTTTCTTTTGAGCCAGGGTCCTGCTAAGTCACTAAGTTACCCAGGCTGAGCTCAAACTTCTGACCCTCCTGCCTCAGCCTCCCAGAGTGCTGGACCACAGGCATGCCTTACCATGTCAGCTCTATTTCATTTAAGGGAAATCCTGGTCAAACCTCATAAAATTGAGTTCAATAACCATTTTTTGGTTATTTTTTTCAGTACTGCACCACAAAATTCAAAATGTACCAGAGGGTATTTGTACAATAAAACTAATCAGCCTCCTAGCCAGAGCTGCAGTTTGGAAGCCCTCCCATCACCACAGAACACCCACCTCGGGCTCCTCAGCCCCCTGCTGACACCCAGGGGCCACACGTGTCACCCCTCACCTGCATTGCCTGTGGATGACACCTCCGTGAGGTTGGGGCAGAAGACAGCATAGTCAAACTGGCAGGGCTAGAAGGCCAAGGACGTGGGGTCAGATACCCCTATTCTGACTTCCAAATGCCCACAGCCCCCGCCCTAGACTACAGCAATACTGCAGCTTCCAGCCCTTGCCTCGGTGTACCCTGCCTGGCCCGGTCCTGGGCAGCAAAGGTACAGCCTCTGTACAGATGCGGGAGCAGAGGCTGGGCCTGGGGTACACTTCCTTAAGGTTGCCCAGCTGGGCCTGGCCCCAAATCTATACTGGGGAAAGGGCTCTGCGCAGGGACAAGCTCTGGTATGAACAGCCTCAGCTTCCTGGTCTGTGACATGGGAGACAGTCCCCAGAAGCTACTTCCACCCTCTTAGCCTACAGCAGCCTCAGTTTCCCCACTCTGTAAAGGGTCTCTTTATGCCTTAAAGCCCAGTGACTCCTTAAACCAAACTTGAAGCAGGTCCCTTAGGGGCAGCCCCTCTCATGGAGTTGCAATCCAAGGCTCAGGAAAAGGCCATCTCATCCCATGATGGGACAGGGGCTAAAGGGACAGGCCACGTGGGTGTTGAGCCTGCACCTTCACCCACCACGTGGCCATCCCTAACCCCAGAGGACACTGCCAGGACCATTCAGGGGAAAGGGAATCAGGCCCCTGCTGGGGGCCGCACAGCCAGGACAGGGCTGCTGGGCTCCCTGGCACCCACCCCCTCAGCTGAGGCCTCACCTGTAGCAGCTTCAGCAGGGCTGAGGAGTCCCTGTCCCCAGTGGAGTTGAAGAGCAAGACCCGCACTTCAGGCCCACTGCACCAGGGGACAGGGAAGGGGGTCAGAGGGGTGCTGCCCTCCCCACTGGTCCACTCCAGCCCATCTCGAGCTTCCCAGTAGGCCCCTCCCTGTGGGCTCCCCTCAACCTGATGCACACCTGGGGGGCCTCTGGTTGCACTGCAGCACCTGGCGGAACCAGCGCACACAGGCCTGCATGCTGCTGGTGGTGTGAGCACCGTCCAGGTACCAGGTGAGGGGCCCGTGCTGCAGCACCTGTGTCCGGCCCGGCCACTCCGTGTCCTGAAGCCCTGGTGGGGGTGGGCAAGGCAGTGCTGGAGGACGCTCTCCTGCCCCAGTCCTCCACTCTGCAGAGCAGGCTGCCCACTCTGAGAATCCCCTCAGCCCAGTCACCGAGATCGGAGCTGATCGGAGCTGATCGGAGCTCAGACTGCCTCACTGGGTGGAATCCACCAGGCCACGCTGAGGGGGCTGCTGTCATGTATTGTCCCATGTGACAGCCTGAGAGCCCTGAGCTCTCAGCTGCTCTGACAGCAGACTTGGCACACAGTGGGCACACAGAAACCACCTGCTGAAGGGTCTAACAACATGAGCACCAACCATGTGCAGAGAGCTTTGGGAGGGGTAAGAAACGTGGCAGCGCCATCACTTCTACAGACAATGACTGGGATGGCCGTGCTCACAGGTGGGACACTACACCCTACATCCTCCAGGCTCTGGGCTCAGCACCCTAGTTTGGCATCTCACGGAGACCTTACAACAGAGCTTAACAGTGGGTCCCACCATCATCCCATTTGGCAATTGGGGAAACTGAGGCTTGGACAGATTTCGGAAGTCAAAGTCAGGGAGGTGTGGTGACCCATAGGCACCACCTTGAACTGCTCCCCGCCCCCGCCCCGTCCCACTCAGGAAACCAAAGGAAACCTTGGAGAGCAGGGGGTTGTCCTGGCTGGGCAGGCCCCACTCACCATGCCGCATGTGGGACGTGGGCTGGAACACCGGGGCCAGGGGCAGCTGGCAGGGGACGCTCGGCCTGGACATCTTCAGCTCCCCGAGGTCTGCGGGGTGCAAGGCCCAGCATGCTCAGGGTCCCCTGAGGACGCCTCCCTGCACACTGCCCACCTGCTGCCCCCGGCAACTACTCACCCTGGTGCCCCTGCTGCTGCAGCCAGCAGTGGGCCAGCTGTAAAGCCAAGGCCGCATTGGACCTCTGGTGCTCGCCCTCCAGGCCCAGGGTCAGCGTTGGTCCCCCTTCCTCCAGGGCTTCCAGTGGTGGGCACAGGTAAAGAGGGCACTGGGGGAACCGGGCAGCGGCTCTCAGCAGAGCTGCCACCACCTCGTTGGCCACGTGGCCCTCCCGTCACTACCTACCCACCAGAGCCCACTGTGCCCTGGTTCCAGAACCAAGATGGGCTCCAGGGGCCAAGCGGCTGCCCCAGCTCCCTCGCTGCACGGATGAGCAAAGGGCCAACGAGAAAGCGCCTCTCCCACCCCGTCCAATGGAACTCACTGAAATCTGCTGGGCACGCTCCCTCAGCACTGCCAGGGGACCTTCCGGCTGCAGCACCGTAAAGGCAGGAACGCCAGGCTGTGGGCAGGCCAGGGAGGGTGAGGCAGGGGTAGCCAAGGGACCTGAATCCTCTCTTCATATTTCAGTGGGGAAACTGAGGCCAGAGAGGAGTTCAACTTTGCTGCAACCACACCACACAGTGCAGCAAGAACAGGAACTCAGACTCTGGGCCAGACATGGTGCCTCGTGCCTGTAATCTCAGCATTTAGGAGGCTGAGGCAGGAGGATCACCATGAAGTCAAGGTCAGCCTGGGCTCCATAGTGAGTTCAAGGCTAGCCTGAACTACTACTTGGCAAGACTGTCTTGAAGAACAAAAATAAAACAAACAAAAAAGAACCCAGGCTCTGCTGATGGCCAGGACCTCAAGACCTCATTCTGAGTCAGGACACAGTCGGGCCCGCCCCAGTGCGAGGTGTCCTTGCCCTCCCCTCCCCAGCCTGCCTGGTCACCTTAAAGATGCCTCCCTTCTGCCATGCAATCTTCTCCACCGTGTCCCCCAGAAGGCTGGTGTGGTCGATGCCAAGAGAGGACACTCCGCACACTACAGGCTTCCTGTAGATGACAAAAGGGCCATGGTGCCCTCGCGCCTTGAGCCACCAGGCAGCAGGTAAGGCCTGGCTCCTGACCCCTCTCCTGTCCCCAGGCAACTGCCCTCACCTGATAATGTTGGTGCAGTCGTAAGCCCCGCCTATGCCAACTTCCACCACCGCCAGGTCCACCTGCAGGAAGCCACACTGCATGGCAGGGGAAGGGTACCCGGGTGCCACCAGGGGGCAGGAGCCCCAGCCTTCAGAGGCTGCCATCCCCAAGGCCTCAGGTGAGGGATCGGGAGTGGGCACGCTACGCACCTTCTCTTGGAGGAAGACGTGGAAGGCCATGAGCGTGAGGAAGCGGAAGTAGGCGGGCATGGACACACAGCTGCCATCCTGTGGCACAGGAACATGTCAGGGTCTGCAGCCCCTGCGCTGGAGCAATGGGGTCCTGGCACCGGCAGTGCCCCGCCCTGTCTACCCGCCAGCCCTGTGGCGCGCGCACCTTGGTCTCCTCCAGCCGACGGTAGAGGCGCCAGAAGTGCTTGGTGAAGAGCTCAGGCCTGATGGGCTGCCCATTGATGCGGATCCGCTCACGCACCTGCACCAGGTGGGGAGAGCTGCCGGGAGACCTGGGGTCATCAGGACTCCCTCCCCAAGCCCCTGCAGAAATCCTTCCCGAGGCTCAACTAAGAAACACCCCCTCCCAGCCAGACATGGTGGTGCATGGCTGTAATCCTAGCACTCAGGAGGCTGAGGCAGGAGGATCACAAGTTCCAGACCAGCCTGGGCTACATACTGAGTTCAAGAACAGCCTAAACTATATAGCGAGACCTTGTCTCAAAAAAAAAGAACAGTCGGGCATGGTGGTGCACACCTGTAATCCCAGCACTTGGGAGGCAGAGGCAGAAGGACTGCCATAAGTTCGAGGCCAGCCTGGGGTACAAAGTCAGTTCAAGGCCAGCCTGGACACAAAGCGAGACCTTGTCTCAGGAAAAAAACAGAACAAAACCAGAAATCCCCCTCCAGAAAGGAGGAAAGACTCTCAGCCACAAGATGGCCTAGCATGTTCTCTGGGCTCCCAGAGTTCCCTGCTTTCCCTGTTACACAGTGATACGTCACTCTGCTAACATTCGCCCACAATGTCCCTCTGTCTTCAGTCCTCAAGTCAAGGGCCCTTCTGCTGGTTCAGGAGGAATCCTGGGGTTGCCCGCAAGGCCTCATGTGCTCAAATCAGCAGTTAGGATAATTCACACACCAAAAAATTATCTTAGAAGACAGACTATTGCCTTATACAGTCATGTGTCCCATAATAACCTACAGGGGGGTTGAGATGGGGTCTCACTACGCAGTCCAGGCTGGGCTTGAACTCACCAGGGAGCCCAGGGTGGCCTCAAACTCTCAGCAATCCTGCCTCAGCCTCCTGAGTGCTGGGATGACAGAATACGCCACCACACCTGGCACATGATAATCTTTTGGTCAGTAACAGACCACATGTATGATCACATGTATAACCCCCACAGGGTTATGTCACCTAGTGACACCGTAGCCATCTAAGGGCGCATCAGCTCCCTCTGTGATATTCACACAACAAAATCGCATAAGGACACATTTCTAAGAATGTTGTTAAGCAGCCCAAGGCTACATTTGAATCCTCAAAGATCCTCCCTTCTGGACGCCTTCTCTCCCTTTATTTTAAACAAAGAACTGCTGAAGGAAAACACACTGGCCTGAATGACCTGGGCTGGTTTCAGATGCTTAGAGGTGGGCCAATCCACCTGGTAAAATAAAGGCCAGGGATGGAGCTCAGCAGTAGAGCACTTGCCTAGTTATGAGGCCCAGGGTTTGGTCCCCAGCATTGCCAAAAAATCCTTGAAAATCCAGGTATGTGCATGCCTGTAATCTCAACATTCTAGGAGGCTGAGGCAGGAGGATCATAAATTCAAGGCCAGCCTGGGGAACTTAGCCATGTGACCACCCTGGTTTTTTTTTTTTTTAATGTTTTTTCATTTTTAAAAAGGGTTGGGTATGCAGCTCAGTGAAAAAGACCTGGGTTTAAATGCCCTCTCCCCCCAAAAAACCGACAAAAAAATGATAAAATAAAAGAAGCAAAAGTCTTAAATACTCCAACCCTGAGGACAAGTCCTGAGGAAATAACCACTAGATTAATCCTTTGGTTTTACAAGTGACCAGTTTAGGGCAGACAGATGTGCACTGAGGACAGGCACTGGGTTCCACCTCCATCCAGGTCCCCCATGTGGTAATCTTGATGTCTGAGTGCCACCAACAGGGGGCGCTGCCTCCAGGTTAGCAGCTAAACTAAGGCTAGCAGAGCTCTGAAACCCCGGCCCTCTGGAGACCTTGACATGAACATCATTATATTACTTTCTTTTTTTTTTTTTTTGGAGACAGTGTCTCATAGTTCAGGCTGGCCTTGAACTCATAGCAATCCTTCTGCCTCAGCCTCGGTGCTGGTATAAAAAGTGTGCACCACCACATCAGGCTTTCCCTTCATCTTTAAACGCTTCCAAGCTAGGTTTCTGCTCCTTATAGCAAAGACATTCTAACTGAAAAAAGGTCTGTTTGGCTTAAAGATTTTATGTGGAATCTAAATTAATAAAAAGACGTCTGACTGTGCCAGCCATGTATTTACCTCACACATTCAAGGTACTATCATGTTCCCAATAGTTTTTTCATTATGAAAACTAATGACTGCTCTCAACTTGGGCTATAATATCTTTGTTGAATGAATAAACACTGCATAGAGACAGTGACCCCCCTGGGTGGCCGAGGGTCACAGTGCTCCAGAGAGGTCAGAGACATGCCCCCACCAACTCAGTACCTAAAGAATCCGGTCTTCAGGCCGTAATTCCGGAGGATGCACTCTGTGAAGGCACAGGTAGAACCCTGCAGGGGAAAGGCACCGTGTGGGCAGGTGCCACCCTCCAGCCTGCCCAGTGGACCCGAGCCCTGGGTCCTACCCCTCACCTTCCCCTTGGTCCCAGTGACATGAATGATGTTCAGCCGGTCCAAGTCCTCCACCTGGGACAGAGAGATGAGCCCACCTCAGCCACAAGACTCAGAGAGATGCGGTCAGAGGGTCACTGGCCCTCCCTACCTTACCTGAAGCCCGCTCCGTGCCAGGAACAGCTCCATGGCTTCCAGCTGCTTCTGGGGGTCACCCCGCTGGCGCTTCACCTGCTCCAGGTAACTAGCATTGGTCTGCAGGGTGTTGAGTGTGCGCACTGCATCCTACAATAACCAGTCCCCGTGGGGCAGGTTAGCTGGCCAAGAGTCCTCAGAGGCACCCAACACACCAGCAGCCAGGCCAGAGCCCCAGCCCTGCTGCCCTGCCCCAGCCTACAGGCTGAGCAATGGGGAGCGAGCAATGGCATCTTTCCAGCTCTGGCAAAGATAGGAGCCTGGGGCCATTCAGCCCCACCCAGGGAGTGCCAGGCAAGAAGGTGGCAAGACTAAGGGAGCTAGCACTGCTTCCTGCTCCAGCTCCCAGGCTTTACCTCCTGAGCCTTCCCCCTCATTCCCTCCACTGATAATGCTGGGCCCTTACTGGGCTCAGGCCAGAACCCCGGAAGGCTGGGGACTTAAAAATTCTGGAATACCTGGGGCTTCTATGCCCAAGCCTGAGAATCTGGGGTTCCACATTCTTACTCTGTGAACGGCTGCTTTTTTTTTTTTTTAACGGCTGCTTTAATTAAAGCAACCGGAGAAAGGAAGAGGAGGAGGCTCCGAGGGAGGAGGGTGTGCTTAGGACTCTAGCCAAAGAGGCAGGTGTATACAGCCTCAGGAAACGCCAGTGGAGGGACAGGAAGTTCGGTTTGTTTCCCCCAGGACTGGGTCCCACTTCTCTTGCTCTCGGGGCCTCACGGCTGGTTGGAGGTCCTTCCCCCCTCCCTCAAAACCAGCGGCACCTGCCTGGCAGGTATTAGGTTCCGGACTCCGGCAATTGGCGCCTGGCACAGCAGCTGCAGACATACTGTTCCCAGATTCTTGGTCCTTAGCGCCAGGCTCCGGCCCACTCCCCAGTTCCAGGCATTTAGATCCGTAACCTTCTGAATGCTGGGACTCCACCCCCAAATCTAAATCCCTGGATCTTTCAAGTCCGAACTCAGAATTCCTTCCTCTCCTTCTCTCTCAACTCTGCACTGCCGGGTTCAGATTCCGTGGTCACCGGAACTTCTGAACCCAACCGAACCTCTGGACCACTGCTACCTATCAGCAGCGCGGGACACTGCAGCCTCAGTGTTCCCAGATTCCGGGCCCAACTTCCTGGTCCCTGTCCCCTCCCCCCGACCCCAAGATCCTCCCCCCAGACTCCCCCAGCCCAGGTCTCCCGGTTCCCCAAAGAGCTGGCGGAGCCCGGATGCTGCGCGCCCCAGGCCCGGCCCACGTGTCACCGCCTGGCCGGGTACCTGATACTCCATGCCCGGCTCCTGCGGCGCCGGCCGCACACCCAATCCCCGCCGCGCCGAGACCTCGGTCGTTGCACCACGCGTAGAAACAGCTACCAGGGACAGAGCCATGCGCAGGCGGTTCCGCGCCCTCGACATAGTCTTGGTGCGGCGGCGAGATAGGCCAGCGCGGGAGGAGCCCGCCCGCCCCGCCCAGCTTTGCCACGCCCCTGCCCTCCACCAACCAGCGCCGCCCAAGACCCCCACCCTCACCAATAAGAGCCTGCGCCTTCGTGGGGGCCATCTTTGTGAGGGGCAGGTGGCTGGGCTGCCCTGCTGTACCGCCGTGCTTGTGCGGGCCGCTCTCCAGAGACTCCTCTCTCCTTTTAAAGGGATACGCGCTCTTTTCGTCGCCATCCTCCCTAGACCCTTCGGCCCAAAACTAGCCAGGCATAGTCAGCATCCCTCAGCCCCTGGTCTAGGCCTGAACCAGCCCTGAGCCAGGATAGAAGGGCACAGCTGACATAAAGAGGTCGCGACATCACAGCTGAGACCCGTAGGGTGCGACCAGAGGCTTCCAAGCAAAGGGAGGGAACTGTGAGAGGAAAACAGTGATTGCAGAGAGAAGTGGGCACTCCGGGAGCTGGTTCCACGTGGCTGCCCCCTACTGCCAGGATGCTGATCCAGCAGGCCCGGTGACCCGGGAAGGAATTTGGAGAAAATGTGACTGACATTAACTTGGCTTTTTGGAGGAAAGCCATGACCAGATTGGCACTTTGGAAGCTCCCTGGGGCTGCTGCTGTGTGGAGAATGGATCTGAGGGTCAGCTGGGAACCGGGACAGTAATCTTTCCTACCGTCTTTTCTACCGATGGATGAAGAGGACCCCCATTTGTGCTAGCGTGAAAAGGGAGCCTGGAGAAATCTTTTTAACAGTGGAGGCCCCAAGTAGGGAAGAGGTATTGTAAACCTGCTAGGGAAAACCCCTCAGATAACGGGCAATCAATCTGCCAAATGACTAATGGGATTGCAATACCTCCCTCTTCCCTGCACTGGGCATTATCAGATTGTTTGAAAGCCTGGGCGTGGTGGTATGGCGTGTGATCGCAGCACTAGGGAGGCTGAGGCGGGAGACTTTTGAATTCCAGGCCGGCCAGCTCCTGTCTCATAAATAAATAAATCCCAAGAAAAATTTTAAAGAGATTGTTTGATTCCTAAATAAACAACTGATGTGTGGGGAGCAGACGATTCTGTCCCTAGCTGGATTCTACTATTTACACACTGGTCGCTGCCCCGCCCTGGCTCCCATAGCGAGGGAGAGATACTTTCTTCTCTTGGTTTCCACTTTTTAACTGTTGTAACTTTCTGTACACACGTTTGCATCATGTCAAAGCTGCATTAACATGATTATAAGAAGCTTTGAACATCTTTCTTTTGCTCACTCGGCAGCTCCCAACACACACACACACACACACACACACACACACACACACACACACTCTTCCTTCATGGCTAATCTGAGTATGTGTCCTGTCATTTTCTTTCTTTTTTTTTTTGGTCTGGGGTTCGAACTTGGGTCCTTGGGCTTGCACAGCAGTCGGCAAAACCACTGAGCTAAATCTCTGGTGTCCTGTCATTTTCTACGCTCATGAAATCACAGACTCACCTACACAGCTATCAAGTCAATGCAGGTGATATTTTCTGCATCTTACTTTCTTACCCAGCTATAATTACACACCTGTAATCCCAGCACTCGGGAGACTGAGGCAGGAAGATCACTGTGAGTTCAGGCCAGCCTGGGATACATAGTGAGACCCTTTTAGATATTTATGTAGGAAACTGCGTAGTATCCTCTCTGTGGAGTAGAGTGTGCTATAAACACTACTGGCACACAGTTGCTCACCCTGTCCTCACAGGGACCCTAGGAAGCAGGTGTCAGTGTGGTCACCATCCTGTGTAAGGGGAAGGAAACCGGGGGCACAGAGGAGTAAAGGTAAACGCCCAAGTCACAAAAGCAGCATTTGAACTCTGGGCCCAGTCCTTTTTCCCACCCTCACCCCCCCAAGTTGCCACAAGTTCAGGTCTTTAGTGGCCATGTGGCCTCCCTGAGGGTCTGTCTCCTTTTCACACTCACAGATAGCGAGACCATGGGTAGATAGGTGAGCCTGTGCTATACTTTCTTCATAAACTTTTTAGGGGTAGTGCTGGAGGTTGAACCCAAGGCCTTAGATTGAGCTACCAACCCAGGGCCTCACACATGCTAGGTAAGAGCTTTACCACTGGGCTACACCCCATGACCTCTACAGACCTTTATATATAGGACCTTATTTTGGACTATGAGCTGACTCCTTGGCTTTTTTTTTTTTCATTTATGGTACTGGAGATAGAACCCTGGAGCTGAGCTACTTCCCTTTATATTTTTCTTTTGAGACTGGAGCTTGTTAAGTTGCCCAGGCTAGCCCTGCCCTGCAATTCTGCAGCCCCACCCTCCTGAGTGCTGGGTTTGTAAGTACATGGCACTGTGCCAGGCTAATTTGTTTTCCTGAAGCTCCAGTGCTCCGTGGTGTGGAACTACTATTGTATATTGGGCTGGTCTCCTAGGGAGGGATGTTTCGGTGCTTTCCAGTATTTTGCCATCACAAGCCATGCTGTACCCAGTGATGTTTTACCCTCATTGTTTCTTCCCTCTGTGCGCAAAACCAGAGAATCAATTCCAAGAAGTGCAATTACAGGTCAAAGGCCAGTGGCATGTGACATTTTCATACCTATTGCCCCACTGTGCTCCTCAGAGGCGGTGCTGGTTTCTCCCCCTCCAGCAGGGCATGGGCCAGCATTTCCTTTTCCTCAGACCCAGACTGCACTTGCCAATGAGGGGGGTGGGTCTCAAGGCAGTTATGGAGGTGGAACACTTTTTCTTTCTTTTGTTTTGGAGACATTACTATGAAGTTCAGGCTGGCCTAGAACTCACTATGGAGCCCAGATTGGCAATGAACTTGCAGTGATCCTCCTGCCTCAGCCTCCAGAGTGTTGGGCTTACACCATGCCCAGCTTACGTTTTCTCATATTTAAAAGCCATTTGTTTTTCCTTTACAGTCCATTCACCTACTTTATATGACAGCTTCTTACGAGAAAAGCCACAGATGTTTGTGGAAGGAAATAGAAGTATAAAGGTACCTGCCCATAATTCCAGCACTATGGGAGGCTGAGGCCCACAAGTTCCAGTCCAGCCTGAATAACTTACCGACTAAGCGAGGCCATGTGTCAAAACGAAAAAAAAAATTAAAAGGGCTGGGGATGTACCTCAGTGTGAAAGCCCTGAATTCAATCCCCAGGATTGCACAAAATGTAAGGAAAAATCAAAGGGACTTTCATCATACACCTGCCAGGAACGGCTGGGCTGTGGCGGGTGAAGGCATCCTGTTATCCCTCCCAGGAAGACAACAGGAATAAAGTCATTGTCGTGAGAGAAAAGAAAAGAAAGTCGGGGGCAGGGAAGGGCTGATCCACAGGTGAATGTGGGGTGGGAGGAGGCTGGAGCCACAACTAAAGGGCATCTGAGGATCCTGCTTTACCCCTTATTCCCCCAAGAAAGGGAATTGCTCATTTATCCATTTATTCATCTGGTAAGAAACTGGCTCTGTGCTGGGCCCTACACTGGAGTCTAGGGACTCTGTGGGGAAAGGCAATGTGGTGTACTCAGCCCAGTACAGGGGCTGAGAGGGAACTAAAGAAGGAAACTGAAAGAATAAAATAATAATAAAGGAAACTGAAGCCGGGCGTGGTGGTGCAGGCCTGTAATCGCAGCACTCAAGGCTGTGGCAGGAGGATAACCCCGGGGCTGGAGACCAGCCTGGGATACATAGTGAGACCCTGTCTCAAAAAAATAAACAAAAGAAAAAAGAAGAAGAAGGAAACTGAAGCCTGGGTGTGGTGGCATAAGACTGTAAATCCCAGCTACCTTAGCTGCTGAGGCAGAATTGCAAGTTCAAGGCCAACCTAGGAAACTTAGTGAGACCCTGTCTCAAAATTTAAAAAATAGGGCCAGCAGGGCCAGGGATTTAGCTCAGTGGTTCTGCTGCCTGCCTCGAAAGCCAAGGACCCGAGTTCAAACCCTGGTACCAAAAAAATAAAATAAAAAATAGGGCTGGGGATTTAGCTCAGTGGTGCCACCGCCTGCCCTGCAAAGGCAAGGACCTGAGTTCAATCCCCCACCAAAAACAACAACAAAATTTTTTTTAATAAAAAGGCAGAAATGTGGCTCAGTGATAGAGTACTTGCCTAGCAGGCATGAGGACCTGGGTTAGATCTCTAATACCACAAAGAAAAAGAACAGAACAGAACAGAACAGAAGAAAGTTCAAAAAAATAACAAAGAAAAGACCAGCAGCAAAACACAGCCTCTCCGGGATCTGGAATGGAGGGACCTGGAAAACAACAAGTTGGTGAAGAAAAAAGTAGGTCTTTGGGAACCAGGAAAGAGCTGACAGGAAGAGCTGTTGAGCTGGCACAACAGAACAGAGAAAAGAAGGAAAGCTGAACCCAGCGCCCAGGGAGGGGACCAGGCTCCACAGACACAAGGTCAGCCCCAGAGGGTTGGCAACTCCAGGCAGAAACAATGGACCAGGACAGCAGGACTAGCACCGCCCCCCCCCCAAAGCCCCTGGTTATGTAAACTCCAAAAATAGCAGGCAGTTTTACTCTGAAAGTGATTCCTTTTGCATGGAAAGCTAGATTCGGAGAAGAAATCCAGTGCAGTGGCCCCCATGTTTGAGAATGTTCTATCAGGAGCCATTTCAGGATAGGGTTAAGACAGACCAACTACACTTCAGAGTTTCTGGGGCCACCTTACCACAGTGACTGAGTGGGAGACGACCACAAGAGACATTTGCAGAGAGGGCATGGGCTAGACATAGACCCCTGGAAAAGTTTAAGCCTAGACCAGAAAGGATACAGGGGTCCCACCCTGCAAGTTGAGAAGCCATGCTGGTTGTGTGTGGCTTTTGGAAAGGGCTGGGTGTGAAAGTCCTGGGATTAAGTGCTTCAAACTGCCTGGCCTCTCACCCTGCTGCCTACATTTTACACAGAGCTCGGTGGCATGTTTGCTCCAACAGCCAACACGACCAGGGATTCACATCAGCTTGGACAGTTGTCATGGCCTGGGTGTATGGACAGAGCGGTCTCTGGAGCAGGGGGCCACCTCACAAGCCACAGGCCATAGAGCTAGCAGAGAAAGCCATGCATTGGGGTGCACGGAAAGATATGGAAACTGGAAGTGGATGGAGTAAATAGAGCCTGAGGGTGGTGACTGACCATACCCAGCAGAAGAGGCCAGGTGGGATTCAGCATTCACACACACACAAAATGATGGTGAAAACAAACGAGGTCTTAGCAGCGACCACTAGCTGGTGGGTTCCAATATGACAGACCCTGCAAAGAAACCACTCATTCAACACAGAGAAGCCAGGCGCACCATGTAACCCTAGCACTCGGAAGCCTGAGGCAGGAGGATCACCACTAGCCAGCCTGAACTACACAGCAAGACCCTGTCTCAAAAACACAAAAACAAAAAACAAAACAAAACACACACATAGAGAAATGTTTTTGTACTCATTTCTGTTTTCTTCATGGGATGTGTAGGCATTTTTCTTTTTTTCTTCTTTATTTTGCTGTTTTTCTTTTCTTGTTTGTTCACTTCTATCTCATCTTGCTTTTCTTTTCAAATTTTACTTCTTTCAGTGGGCCAGGGATTTAGCTCAGCGGTTCTGCCGCCTGCCTCGCAAACGGAAGGACCTGAGTTCCATGCCCAGTACTAAAATAAAAATTTTACTTCTTTCATTTCTCCTTCCCCACTCCCTCTACCTTTACTAGTATTACTGTTATGCTTTATTAATCTTTAACTTTTCTATTGTTAATGGTGATATAGTTGGTACATTTAGTAGATATTTATGGTACGTTGCTATCTGGCTTGTCTTTATGTCTGTAGTGTAAGTACAGACCTCTTTTCTGCTGTAAGACTGGCATAATAGTAGCTTTTTTGGTTCTGATGGTATCTCAATCAATACCCAGTTTGACTCTATTCTTGTTGCTGATTTTGTTGCTTTTGCCAGCACGGCATAGATGTTGCTTTTACTGTATGTCACTGTCTGGTTTGTCTTTGTGTCAACAACAATACTCTGGTTTGGGCCTGGGATTTAGCTCAGTGGTTCCGGCGGCAAGTGCAAGGTCCCGAGTTTGATCCCTGGTACCAAAAAACAAAACAAAACAAAACAATACTCTGGTTCATTTTTCTGAGAACTGGGTGCTGGGCCAATTATACTGCACCTTCCCATGCCCAAATTAACAGAGGGTCAGATTTTGAGACAGAGGCAAAGGCCTATGGTGAGCCATGCCTACAGCCTATAGCACATCCCTGGAGAGCAGACATTGACTAAAGAGTTTGACATACTGAAAACAAAGTTTTTCCACTATAATCAACTATAAACCCCAGCATAAACAAACAAATAAATAAAAACAGATCAATAAGGTGCTTGGTGAGCTCAAAGATGACATAACTAAATAGATAAAATAAAATGATCAATAATTCTTTTGGAAAGAATTAGAGTCTATGTAAAGGTACCAAACAGAAATCCAGAAGATAAAAAATTCTGTTGAAAAGTTTGGGCAGCAAATGTGACCAATGTGAGGTCAGAGTTTCAGAACTAGAAAATAAGGCTGATGTGTGTGATCATATACTCAGGGATACTTTAAAAACAATACGAAGCTAGGCATGGTGGCTCATGCCTGTAATCCCAGCACTTGGGAGGCTGAGGTAGGAGAAACTGAGTTCAAGGCCAGCTTGGGTGACAGAGTAAGACCTGTCTCAAAAACAAAACAATCAAATACGGGGGTGGGGGGGGAAGAATATGGGAAACAGATCCAACAGCTGCTAGATGATTCAAAGAAGACTAAGATTAATTGGAATTAGTGAAAAATCAGGAGACATCACAAATGACATAAAAAACCTGCTCATAGAAGTAATAGCTGAAACAT